ATCGACGGATTCAACTCGGCTGGGCAGCGTTCGGGAAATTACGGCACATCTTCTCGTCAGGTATACCTCAAAACTTGAAAACTGGACTGTACAACCAGTGTGTATTGCCAGTGATGACCTATGGGATTGAAACGCGGTCCTTCACTGCTGGCCGTATGAGGAAGCTCAAGGTCGCTCAGCGACTTATGAAGAGGGCTATGCTAAGAGTTTTTTGCGTGATAAACTTAGAAATGAGGATATCCGCAGTAGAACCAGAGTGACCGACATAGCCCAACGGATTAGTAAGCTGAAGTGGCAATGAGCTGGCCATATAGCTCGAAGAACCGACAACCGATGGGGAAAAAACGCTCTAGAGTGGCGGTCTCGTACCGGCGGACGAAGTGTAGGGCATCCCTTCACTAGATGGAGTAATAAGACGTGCAGGAAGTCGATGGATGCAGGTGGCTTAGGACCGTGCTTTGTGGCATTCCTTGGGGGAGGCCTATGTTCAGCAGTGGACTTGTGAAGGGCTGTAATGGTGATGACATATTAAGCTCTTATATATTTAATAGGTTGTATAATTTAGTTTGTAGTCTTAATAAGCGCATACATTTATAACAAACTAGAAAAGACGGTAAAAATAATTAATAAAATAAAATTGAAGAAATGTTAATTTGACGACTTTATCCCTAGAATACTTAATTAAACTGTATTTATACTTTACACATATTCGAATTGTTCTTGTTTATAAGTCTCTCTAAATCTACTGCGAATATAGGCATATCAAGAACACGCTTTTGCATAACTTGAAAGTTTTGCCAAATTTACTTAACACGCTGAGCAAGCGCGGGTTGGTAAGTAAAGTTCTAGCCTAATACACCGTCCTCTGCTATGCAGAGGGCGTCTTCTCATATCAAAGAGGATTTTAGGGCGCAGTTTAGTGTTTAGGTATAAAAAAGCTTAAAAACAGCAGCTTTTATCGTTAACAGTTTTACATGCTGCTGCAAGAAAATTTCAAGATAAAAATATGAAGCGTCGCTTCCTATGCTTTTACAGTCAATGCGGCGCTAACAGCAATTGGGGTTAATAAGTTGTTTTTTAAATGCGCGGAAGATAGTGGCTACAGAGAGCAAACGCTTATATTGTAAACTCATTAAGGTAGTTATATGAACATTTATTGTAAATTTATGTAATTTGCAAAAGTAAACAGTAAATATATACACATGTATCAGTTTGATAATTTGAATGTTAGTATGTAACCACCATGTTAACCACCACTCCGTTACCATTACAGCCTATTAATGTTTACTGCTGAACATTGGTCTCCCCCATGGATTGTCTCATAGTGGGGAATTTTGCTATAGTTGCTACGCACGCGCATTTTGTTTTATTTTTAGTCGTTATTATGAAGATGTTGCTGCCGATCTCCTGATTATTTCCTTCTGGCGCCACTTACGACACCCACTGGATGATATGGGGTATTGGATATTCATATACCGTCATTACATGGACTCGCCTATACTAAACTTACTTGAATTTCTAATTTTGAAGAAACAGAGATGAAATAAGGATTTTCATACAAAACCCTTATTCCTAGACTAAACAGTTTTAGTTCGATTTCTTGATTCCCTGCGTTATTAATTTCATGACTCACGTTCTTCACATTCTTCGTTATTGATTTGCAATGAATGGCATGAAATAGGTGCTGCCTAAATAAAATTATGATTAATTAAAAATATTCTTAAACCATTTAACACAAGATTATAATTTAACATTTAAATTTACTTTTACCGAATAATCAAATATTAATTTCCTCTTAGAGGATTTTCGAACACGTTGACTGACTTCCGAATAATCGGAAGCTATCAAACACAGAGGCTGGTCTTAATTATAAACTGTAATCATGTCCGATGTAATATTTAATGCGATAACTTCAAAAGTTGGCGTGGATTTTCAGAGACTCGAGGAGAGTACAAAAAAGGAAAATAAAAAACAGGATTGGCCCCAAAAATCAACCAATAATATTTTTGCACAAATTTTGACGTTAGCTGAGGCTTGAATCTAATACCTACTTGCAAATTAATAGCCAGGTATTTAGAACTTTAGACCACACAGTTGTTCTATAGAACATATATATAGAAAGAAGAATAAAGTAAGCAAAGTTACTTTTATTTTACCACGTGCTCGGTTGTTAAGGAGAACATCAGGACAGGAAACCTACATATATGACTACGGAATAAAAGAATTTCAAAGACGTAAAGTCCGTCATCAGGTAGATAGTGCTACAGCGTGGCTAACCAACTACTCCACAACCCTCGCAAACTTGTGCATTTGCCCAGCTGTGGGTCGTATATAGGCTGTAACTTTAACCTAAGTAAAGGTATAGCCAGTTTTGAAACAAACCACATCTTGAATGCTTGCTATACATCATTGCCGATATTTTATTGCGAAAAATCTGAGCGGAAAGTGGAAACGTCGTTAAATTAGCTATCAACAAAATGAAAGCCATCCATTACGAATAACGAAGTGATACATTGAACAATACAAAGCGAAAAGCAGTTCATTAAATGTCTAATTGGTTTGTTAACTTTAAAAATAATATCTTTATTATATTTTTTTTTTCTCTCAAGACACCCACGGGGTGATTTGAATCTAATCGAATAAAATGTAGAAAGAAATATAGCAACATTTGCAACCAGTGAAAACCACAATAGCACTCTGTGCAAACTCCTACCTAACAAATGAAGCTCTAACGCCTGATTGATGGCAGAAATTCTATCCATTGCATTAATTCTTGAAAATGACTAAATCCTATTATAGGTCTAAACTTAAGTTTTAATTGTTTTAAATATAAAATAATGATTTCTTATTTTAACGCGAATACTATACATTAAATGAAAGTAATGTAACGGATTTTAAACGTCAAACTTCGGACCACGAATGAAAACTTCGGAAATCAAAAAGTTAAAATTAATCGCGGTAATATCTGTAAAATAAGTTTAATATCAAATTTAATAAAACATTTTATAACAATACTAGCTAGCCAGACAGACGTTGTCCTGTCCTCTCCGACGACCCTGTGTCCTATAAAAATTCTTAAATTCGTAATAAAATATCGAGGTTCACTTATAGGGATAAAACTATTCTATCTCTCAAGTTGGACCAAACTGCATACAGTGCGCAAAATTTCATTGCAATCAGTTTAGTAGTTTAGGAGTTCATCGCGGACAAACAATGTGACACTTAATTTTATATATCAACTTAAAACCAGACTAATATCAAAACACAATATTGCAACTGATCACTTTAGTTCGCAGTTGTATCGCTTCGAAGTATTCGCTTGTATCGCCAACTCAACACTGACCCCGGTCGCGGTCTATACCGGCCTTGTATAGGGCCTCAGATAGTTTCAGAATCTTCTACTGTAGAAACATCTAGAATGTTCGAGTACATACCGGTCCCGATTGAATACGTGTCGATAGTTCTAGAAAGATCTTCCATGGAAATTTCTAGAAGAATCTTGACTCTGCTAAATCTGCTACTCGATACTAGAAGGCACGATTTGTAACTAATGTCGCCATGTATCAGTTATTAATGGTGGCGCGCAACACTGCCCCTTCCTAAGAGATGCTCATCCCAAACATAATCGGGCCCCTAATAAAGCGCCAGTCGATTCACATGAACGATCTTAGGAGTACCTCTTGCACCTTTTTGTATACGGTAGGTTACGTCATTGATCCTTGTCACTCCGGTACGGTCAATCCCATTTAGCTTGAAGCTTAGGAGATTTTTCTCGATTCTTTTGCTTTGAACTGGATTGTGCAAGCACTGAACCTTTGTCGACCCTTTGTTGTTCATTTTGCGGTCATACCGGGTTTCATCTTTTCAGAAATTTGGCCCGATTGTCTGACGTGCTTATAAATGTCATTCATATGGTTCCGCAAGTCATTTGCATAATTGGTTAGACTAATGAAATCAGGTAGTATTCCAGTGATCGGGTCTGCAGGCAGCCGTAATTGTCTTCCAAAGTTTGCAAAAACTGGTGTCATTGACGTACTTTCGTGAACAGCGCTTCGATATGACAACAAAAACGGTTGTATATGCTTGTCCCAGTCTCGTGGCCGATTTTCCACAACTTTTGCTAGGTACATCAGATTGTGGGTGGTGAGAAGTTGTTCTTGTTCTATGAGTAACCATTACTCAGCAAGTTTTCTGGTATATTCGAGACTCAAAATTCCTTCCTTGATCACTGGGAATCTCTAAGGGTACTACAAAACGACAGAAATTTTCATGAACTAGTTTATCTGCAACTTTTGAAGCTTCTTGATTTGGAATGGCGAAGACTTCTGGCCACTTAGTGATGTAATCCATCGCAACCATAAAATAGTTGTTACCACTTTCACTTTCCGAAAACGGCCCTGTAAGGTCAAGGGCTATTCTCTTCCATGGTGCACCAACATTCTACAATTTCAATGCACATCTACTACGAGTCTGATGTCCCCTTAAAACCGCACAATTTGTACATTTGCGACACCAGTATTTTTTTCTGCAATTTTTGCATATATCAGTGCAAATTTCAGTACAGCATGGTCAATGCGTAAGTGAAATTTCCATCCTAGAAGATATTTGCCAAAACACTGCAACCACTTTACCACAGCAAGCAATTCCCGTCTTGTGACACAATAGTTTCTTTCCGACTTTGACAACGACTTGCTGAAGTACGTTATCACAAACTCTTGATCACCATTCCGTTGAGATAACATACCGCCAAGTCCTATATCACTTGAGTCTGTGTCAACTATAAATTTCTGGTCCGCATCAGGGTACCCAAAAATTGGTGTTTTCCATAGACGGTCCTTGAGCTCCTAGAACGCACAACTTTTATCCCAGTAGAAATTTCATTTCTCTTTGGTTAGTTTGTGTAAAGGTTTGGCTACACCTGCAAAGTTCTTTACAAATCGCCGATAATAGGAGCACAAACTAAAAAATGGTCTAACCTGCATCTTGTGTTTTGGACCCGGTCAATCCTTGGCAGCGGTAACTTTCTCTGGATCCGTGCGGATACCTACTTCCGACATTACATACCCCAATAAGCTAAAATACCGTTTGAATAGTGAACATTTCTTCGGACTCAACTTGAAGTTAGCACTCTGAATCTTCATAAGCACGCGTTCCAGGTTTTGAAGGTGTTCCTCAAACGTACGGCCTACAATGATGATTTCATCCAAGTAGACCAGACAGGCATCACCAATTAGCCCGGTAAGTATAAGCACCATCAACCTTTCAAACGTTGCTGGAGCATTACACAATCCAAACAGCATAACTTTAAATTTCCAAAGACCCTTTCCTGTCGAGAATGCAGTTTTCTCCTTTTCCTCAGGGTCAATTTGAACCAGCCAGTAGCCATTTTTCAGGTCCAGCGTGCTAAACCACTTTACTCCTGTAAGAATGTCCAGCGTGTCATCAATTCTTGGCAAGAGATAGCTGTACTTCTTCGTAACGCCGTTCAGGCGGCAGTAGTAAACACAAAACCGCATACTGCCGTCCTTCTTTTTTACTAGCTCCACAGGGGAACACTATGGACTAGATGAAGGTTCAATAACACCATCCTTCACCATTCGCTCAATCATGGTTTCCGCTTCCTTTTTACGTGCTACCGACAATCTCCTTGGCCGCTGACGAATAGTCAATGCTTCTCCTGTATTTATTTTGCGTTGAATTACGCCAGTATTTCTTATATCAGCATCGTTTAACGAGAAAATATCGGCATACTTGAGTAACAACTTCTTCGCATTGACCATTTCATTCGGGGAGAGAACGCTGCGATAGTCTTATAAAAGTGTGGTCACTCTCGTCTATGCATCCTTGCGGGGGTCCCACTCGTTAGATATTGGCATCGACGCAATCAATCCACTTCTTCATAAGTTCAGTACACGTACTCCTGAGATGTCGGTAGTTCTGACCAACATTCGAGCCACTTTCCATGGAAGGTCATTGTCTACCTTTTCCAAGAGTACACAACGATAAGCTTGCCCAGGATTCCGAGGAAGACTTACCGGCACAATCGTTTTTGATCACGGCGGAAGAACAGTCTTCTTAGGGCTGTACACATTCCCTGGTAACGCCTCTTCCACGAAAAGTTCTTCTTGTCCATATTTCAAAACACCTTGCTTAACGTCGATCTCACAACGATTCTTCCTCATACAATTTTGGCTCAGGATGTAGTCGTCCATTATATCTGCCACGATGACATTAATGCAGGTAGATTATGTTGCCTAGCTTCAATTCCATCTCCTTCTCTCCACGGACCGGTATGCGCTGACCGGTGGCTGTCGTCAAATTAATGCATTCTCGGTTGTATGCGGAGTCCCCAAGGAACTGACTTATAAGTTTGGAAATGACAAATTACTGTACCAGGTTCCTTTCAATGAGCGCAGGTACAGACTGTTATGCTTTTCAAACCAGCTTCTCCACCTCAAGGGCCCACTGCTTCAGGTTGACGTTGCTGCGTTGCACGCAATCTTTGGGCTTCGTAAGAAAGACGTGTTCCAGGTGAGCGTCGTCATATCTCACCTGCAATGCCTCAATGAGCTGCTCGTAAGTCACATCCTTACCGAGAGCTTCCAGAACAGTTAAGTTAAGTTCCAGTTAAGTTAAGCTCTCACCCTAGGCCTGATCGCGCAGGCCTAGGGTGAGAGCAGTCATAACCTTACTTTTATTCTAGCCGTTCGCCTTCATGATAGCCTCTAACTGGATTTTATAGACCGATGACGAAGAAGTCCCGTTGGACGGAGGTATTCTGAACCCACGTAGCGAATGTGTTGTAGCTACCACGGGAGCTGTAATTCCATCCCCAAGTTTAAGATGGTCCAGCGTTTTCTTCACGTCAGCCATCACGTTGTCAACCCGATTGTTCACTTGGTCGATTCGGGTTTCAGCTTCCGAGGCGCTTGTCATGTTCAGCAACGTTATCCTTCACCTTATCTCTTTCTTGAAGGTAGCATGAAGGTCCTTCATGAGGAGGATCTACTTTTCCTTATCGCGTTTTCCTTATCGCTGCTCTTCCCAAGGACTGGCCTGTCCCTCCTGTCGGCGGGCCTGTTTGGAGGAACGGAGGAATGCCCGCCAACAGGAGTGTCGGCGGGCATGTTCTTCCTGTCGGCGGGCATGTTCTTCCTGTCGGCGGATATGTTATTCCTGTCGGAGGGCCTATTCCTCCTGTCCGCGAGCTTGCTCCTGCAGCATTATCATCAGAGCACCTATGTTAGGTGTTGCAGATGTAGGAGCTGCTGACGTCCCGGCCTCCCCGTGATTGGCAGCTGGTCCTCCAACGTCGGCGGCGTTGCACCACCAAATCGTCCCTGGTCTCTTGCTGGCGTTGACTTCGGGTACGGATACCCACCGTGTCGTCCTTAGGTAAAATTGGCATGATTTGATCCCACTTCTGACACAAATTGTACGAGCTTGGGATTCGAGACAATTAAAAACTGCTGAGTGAATTACCATAATTGACACAATAATTACAGAATACTAATTACAACTTAAAACCACACTAATAACAAAACACAATTGTACTACTGAACACTTTAGTTCAAAGTTGTATTACTTTGAAGTGTTCGCTTGTATCGCCAACTCAACACTCACCCCGGTCGCGGTCTATACCGGCCTTATATAGGGCCTGAGATAGTTCCAGAATTTTCTACTGTAGAAACATCTAGAATATTCGAGTACATACCGGTCCCGATTGACTAGGTGTCGATAGTTCTAGAAAGTTCTTCCACGGAAATTTCTAGAACGATCTTGAAATTTATAGCAGAACTAATTATATATAATATTGTCATTAATAGTGGCGCGCAACAATATTATATACGTAATCAATACGTTTTTATTACCCATCATTCCATTAAAAATAATTCTAATTGAAATTTTATTACTTGAAACTATTAATAATTAATAATAATTTCCCGTCCTTTCTTCCATCTTTACTATTTATTCTTAATTGTCATCATCTTGTGTTGTTATTATTATTATTACTTATAAATTTAATTGTATCATTTATGTACACCTCCCGCTTTGCCATTCTTTGTGGACAATAGTTCTTTACATAAAACGGTTGTCTTGAAGAAATAGCCTCCAGAGCGATACAACCACCTATTGTACTTTCTTTATATATTTCATTTTTCTTATTTTTGTTTTTGTTTTAATATGAATTGGTGTACAATAAAGAATAAATATATTGGTAAATTGAGCCGTGGTAGATAGCTTAGTGCTCGACAGCATCTCGGGTTAAATCGTTGCCGGCATTTGTGAAAAGCCTGCATGTCTAAGGAATAAAATATTTCAAAGACCCAGCCGCCAGCATGCACTGAAGCAGCGCGGCGAAATAATTACCCATTGACCTCTAAAAATCAAAGGAGGCTTTTGCCTAGCTGTGAGACGTAACACTTATTTTTTTAAATTTAAAAGTAAGTGCTAGGCAGTAACGTCTAAGTAAGGCCTATATCAGGTCCCACAGCTGGACACAGACATCTTATTTTTGAGACGGCAGTATGCAGGCATTATCGTGGAGCTACGTTTATGTTTCCTATTACCTAAATCACATTGAGCGAGCTCTGCGCTTACTCACAAACCGTATTGGTTTTTGGAGACGTTTTATGTCGTTTATGAATTTTTTGAACCCGTTCACATAGCAATTTCTTATATTTACGCGAACACTACACATTAAATGAACTTTTTTACGAATTCTATCGCGTTTAATTTAACTTTTTAATTTCCGACGTTTCGAGTGCTTTACAGCACCCATGATCACGGGGGGGACTGAGGTGTTTGACATCTCGATGTCATAGTTAGCCCGGCTACCTTCAGTTTGTGAATATTAATTTTTGGTCTGATCTAAACAGAATGACCTTATAGTATCTTAAAGTCTTGCAGTGATATGCTTGGGATTGACTATTGAAATTAGGGTATTTTTTAATTTCAATAGCCTCGCGAATCATCCTTGGGAGGAATCGGTGTTCTTTTGCGAGGATTTGTGGTCTATCAAATCTTATGGAACGTCGATGCTTCGAGTCAGCTATATGTTTTATTTGTGTAACATCAGGAATTAAAATGTTAAATTAAACGCGATACAATCCGTAAAAAAGTTAGTTTCATTTTTTGAACCCCTCAATAACTTCAAAACATCGCTTTCAAAATCCGTACATTACAAAACAACAACCTCTTATTGTAAAGAAGATAAAGCAGCCGTAACATTTCTTGTTACCTATGTTTCGAAATAACTTAAAATTTCGCACTTAATTATTCCCTCATTACTAAATATTTGAATTTAGAACGAAAACAGTTTTCATTGTATAGGCATTCAGTATCAAACAAGGATTATTTGCGTGGAGAGCGTAAAATTCCTGAGCTACCACGGCTACTTAAAGGTTCGTAAATTAGTTTTCCTTTACGATTTATGGCCAGATATTGTACTCTAATGTTTAAACTTTAAATCTAAAGGTTTGCACAATGGATTTAGGCAGATGTAATTATCATTAATCGACCAGAAAAGCCATTTGTACAATTTAGACTATAAGTGAGCAATGCGGGTAATATAGGAGAGGAACATAATTTATTTAATTATTTTAACAATGAAATTATGCTATAAGCGCGCACTCATCCCTGTGCTAGTGGTTTAAAATGTTTATAAATAGTAGTTAGTTGTTTATAGTTAGAGTTAACGTCAAAATTTGTGGAAAAATATTAATGGTTGATTTTTGGGGCTTTTATTTACCTTTTTTTTTGGAATTTTCCTTGTGTCTCGAAAAATCCACGCCTACCTTAATGTTATCGCACTGAACATTACATCACAGCTAGTAGTGCAGTTAGAATTAAGACCAGCCTCTGTGTTTGATAGCTTCCGATTATTCAGAAGTAGTCAGTCAACGTGGTGGAAAATCCCCTAAGAGGAAATTAATGTTTCATTATTAGGTAAAAATAAACTTGAATTTTAAATTATAATCTCGTCGTTAAATCGTTGTAAAATATTTTTAATTAAATATAGTTTTACGTAGTAATAAGTTTTAAGATATACAAAAAGTATTCTAGATACTATTAATATATATTTATTTTACATCTTTTCAAAATATTCTCCATCATGCTCTATACAAAGCTCCATTCGCCTAAACCAACTTTTTTGAAAGTCTTGATCTGACTGGTCGGAAATCGCTTCTTCGGCACTTGAAAAAACTTGCCTTTTATTTTTTATTTGACTCTTGGGAACAAAAAGAAATCACAAAGAACTAAGTCAGGGCTGTAGGATGGGAGACTTAGAGTTTCAACACCAAATTCCTCAATAAATGCTTTTGTTCTATATATATATACTGATAAACAAGAAATGTACGAGTATATATAAAGTATAGGCACGTAGTTTAGTTTCATTTAGTATTCTAAGAATCGAGTTGTCAAATTAACATTTCTTCAATTTTATTTAACTACTAGTTGTTCCCCGTGTGTACGATTGGATTTCATGGGTTTTAATTTTGTGCGCGGAACCCTA